CTCATTTGAATTTCTTGTCCCAGTAATATTTTATAGGTTTTAGAAGGATTCTTGATGTATATCAACCAAGGAGGCTTAGCAGATCTTAGAAGAATGAACTGAAATTGTCATGATATGAAAATTAACACCCTTCTTCCTGGCATTTACTAACAAAGGGAGGGGGTACTATTTGTTAAAGCTCATCAGTGAGCAAGTTCCCTGGGGAGCCAGTGGGGTAAGAGTGTAAGAATTTGGTCTCTGGTGCCAGACTGCCTGGCTTCAGACCCAAGCATTGTCGCTCACTGGCTGTGGGACTTGGACAAGTTAGTTAACTACAGAGCCTCTTGTTTCCTCACTGGTAAATGGGGATAATGCCTCTTGGGATTTTGAAGATGATTAAATGAAATAATTCCTGTGAAGTGCTTTCCACAGTGGCTGCGTGTAGTAAGAAAGGGTAGTGGTTGTTATTAGCAAAATTGAATATGGGCGTGATGGGTCTGGGAAGATGGCATAGATCTTTCAAAAAGGCTATCTTTCTTTGGAATATTTGTGGGCTGACATCGTCCATGGGTGATCGTTACTATGTGTCTCCGAAGAAGTGATTATGGCACAAACCACACTCACTTCTCTTCCCATTCTTGTGGAACAGATCGTAGCCCTAAGGCAGAGATCTGTAAATGCTCCCAAAGACAGTTTCAAGACTGAATTAAGATCGAGATAACCTTTGTGGTTAGAGACAAGTAAGTACAAGGTAGGACTGACCTTTTTGAGGTGTCTATGGTAAAAATAATCATGGGGGTCACACTTACAAAGCTGATGGTGAGCCGGTGGCATAATGCTCTTGGGGGAAAGTAGAGCGAACAGGCATGGAAACTGGAATTACTTGACTCAGAAAGAAAGCCTAGGGGCCGGGCCTGGTGGCATAGTGGTTAACTTTGTGTGCCCTGCTTCAGTGGCCCAGGGTTCACCAGTTCAGATCCCGGGTGTGGACCTACGTACCGCTTATCAAGCCATGCTGTGGCTGGCGTCCCACATATAAAGTAGAGGAAGATGGGCATGGATGTTAGCTCAGAGCCAATCTTCCTCAGCAAAAAGAGGAGGATTGGGGACAGCTGTTAGCTCAGGGCTAATCTTCCTCAAAAAAAAAAAAAAAAAAAAGAATGCCTAGTGTAAGTAAGCAGTGGAATGGTAATGTTCAGGATTTAAGGGTTTATTATATGCATTGTTGACCAGTTCTCACTCCTCAGCAGATCTTTAGCCACTACCAACCTCACTACTATCCTTATCACCTACCCCCATCACCACCACCACGCCTACCAGCATCACCAACACCACCCTCCCCAGCACCACCCTCCCTAGTACCACCAACACCAACACCCTCTCCACCACAGCTACCACAGCGCGGTCCTTGAAGGACTCCAGTGGGGATCATTCATGCCTCTTTACCCAGCTCTGACTCCAGCCCCATCTTCTCACTGCCTGAATTGCTTCTATCACCTGTTCACTCCGTGACCACCTTTCTGCCTTTCAGCCCACCAGCCTCTGTCTCTGGGCTAAGGAGAGAATTTGCAAGTACACTTCAACAGCCTTGCTTTTCTCTGAATTAAGAAAGGATTACTGATCTTTTATTATTTGCTTTATAAATAAGGAGATATGTTCATTAGTTTGACTCATTAAATTTAAAGCAATTGTTATAATTTTGGCGTGTTTGATTAAGTTTCTTTAATTACACACAGTTGCAGATGTTGCAGCTCCAGAGAGCAGGAGAGTTTCTGTGAAGCTTTCTTCTCCTTTCCACTTCGTGCCTTTTCTTCTTCCTGTTTGCCCCTGTGGCTGCCAGTCCACACCCCAGGGCAGCTTAGTACGTTGTCCCAGGACTGTAAATGTCCCGTGACTGAAAAGATTGTCTCCTCTGTGATCAAGCTGTTCAAGGCCAGCTCTGATGCAAACTGTAGAGAAAGGGAGAGTGTGTCTGGGAGCCCCTCTATTCTCCCCTGCATCTGCCCTTCGTTTTGTCACTCCCAACCACGCCTGCTTCAGGAAAGGATCAGATAAACCTATTTAGAGTGAAGAAGCAATGACAGGTTCACGGTGAAGCAAACCAAGGAAATGAGACTTTAAATGTGGAATGCCAGCTTGTTAAAGTAAGAGGGTCTAGGCCAGTCACTGCCCGAGTTGTCTCCAGAGCATCTAACACAGTGGCGTTCGGGAGGCATTCAGGAAATCCTTTCGGACTAAAGTGAATTGTGTTTCTGCTAGTTGAAGAGGATTAACATTTTTTAAACATGGAGAACATGATGGCTTTCCTCAAAGGATAGGCAAGAGGTTATTCATTCTCTTCTCCTTGAACTCACTTATTCCTAGACCCCAACCCTGGAGACACACCAGTGGGTAGGATAGTGTTGTTTTAAGAATAAAACGCTTTGATGATTCTAGTCAGGGGGTCCCTTAGCTATGTGTACCCTTGGCTGAAAGTCTCCCTCTTGGGAGGGGCAGTTTGTTGGAGCCAGTGTTCAGATGTGAACAACTGTATGTGGATCGATGCAGGGCTCTCCTGGCCAGCTGGGTCTCTTGGGGCCAAGTGGGGGCCCAGCTGGAGGGGCCGCTGCACTAGCTCCGGCACCTTTCCCTCCAGTAGGGCAGCTGGGCAGAGAATGGGTAGGATTTGATGAAAAAGGTGGTGACATCAGCCCCAGATGGCTTACTTTAGAATCTGTCATTTCGTTATTCACTCATCTGTCCTCTACTCTACTATTCTATATTACATGCATATCCTTTTTGTGTGTGTGCTCTGGAAAGAGACTGATTTTTGTCTTTCATTGTTTTGGTAATATAAAAATTTTAGCAGCTGAGCCTTTATTCCAGAATTCTCCTTTTAGTTCCCTTTGAATGAGAAATAGCTTCCCTGTGTTTCACTTGTCCTGTTATGCTTTCATGGGGCTTGTGTTCACTATTTATTAATACTGGGCTTGTAGACATCAGGGTTTAGGAAGTGTGGCCATCTCTTGGCTCATGGGCAGCTCCTCTTCCTTGGGTAGACACGAAGAAAGTACTTTGGACATTGCTGTTCCTTCTACGTGATGTCTTCGTTATGACATCATTTTGAAAATGAAACTCTGATTCTAAGTTCCTTGATCTTAAAAACAGTTAATCTAGTAATAGTATCTACTATCCCTACTTTCCCTAAAGGGGCATTGTAAGGATAATTAAGGGACATATATGTGAAGTGTTTTGAGTTCAGTTGAAGGGAGAAGCTATCAGGTGCAAAGGTATTGCTATTATTTAGTTTCATACTGTTACCGTATGATCATGAATACATTAATTTTGGAAATGATGATAATTTTGTGTTTGGAGATCTATTCCTACTTAACCAGCGTAATTGTTTTTGACCTGAGTCCTACAAGATACCTCAATTTATGGGCCAAAAGCAAGTAAGTGGGAAATGATCAGAAATGTTTTTACTATGTTTTTCATTGGCTGTTTTTTTCTATTCTGAAAATAAATGTCTTTTAAACAGAATTGATTAAAAAGCTTTATTTTCTGGGAATGTTATGCATCTGCAATAAATAATAAATAATATTGTAGCAGTTGACTGCCTCCACTTTCATGCAAAATAAATAAATACGTTTGGTGACATACATTTGAGGAGTGTGATTCTTATAATTTTCACAGCAGTAGGGAACAACTTTTCAGATGATAGAGATTTTACCATCTGCTAGTAACAAAGAAACATAGCTCGTAACACAAGGCTCTTACTAGGTTTAACGTATGTATTGGCATGCCAGGAACCGAAATCCTCTACAGCTTTAGTCAACCACCCCTGGGGAAGTTGACCTGACTTTCAGCACGTCAGGTGAAAGGCTCCTTTGCTTGAAAAGCAGATAACATGGTCCTCACGTTGCTAGAATGGCAGAGGAGGGAAGAGGGCTGAGTTTTAATGGTGAGAGATCAAGAGAAAGGCACTCCCTGGGATTGTAAGTACCTACGTGGATTTCGCTTGTAATTAGTGGAATGGTGGACTCACTGTTGAGAAGACACTGTCTTTTTGAGTCAAAATATTTAGTGTTGGTAGAAGAGATAAAAGTTCAGACACTTAGGGAGAGATGGGGGATAGCAAGTCCAGACTTTCTCTTACAATGACATTTGTTTTAAGCAGGTGACATGTTAGCTTCCTAGGCCTGACATCACACATGGGGGTTGTGGTTGTAGTTAAGGATAAGGAGTGGATTGCTTACCATTAAGAAGGGCTGAATGGTCAGTGGAGCCTACAGATCTGCCTACCAAGGAAAGGGAGGAAAAACCAAAGTGAAGCCATTGAAGAAGTATTGCCTCTCTTTTTGGGGTTTCCTTTGCTCTCCTCTGGAGAAGGGCGATGATTGTCTTTTTTGGTCATTCTGGTTTCATCTGATGGTGTGGAGGTTACTGCATGGCACAAGCATCATGGTGGTAGCATAAAAGATGGCCAGTGCATTTGTATTAGTAGATTGTGTGTAAGTGGTCCTGAGGGTGTTCAGTCCTTCTTAGTGTTCAAAGCCATAGGCTGAATGTGTGGGGAGAACCTCACTGGAGAACTTTAGCTATCAGTGGTCTGCATATTGGAGTGCTTTGGGTTATCTTCAAGCTTAATGAGTTGAGGAATGAAGCAGATTTAGTTGGGAAGGAGCAGCATCCCCCTCACCTCCAACTTCTTCATATTCGGAAGTGATCCATGCTCCCTGACCCGGAAATGCAGTGAGTCTGATACCTGCCGAGTTGATTTGGGCTTGTATCCTCATGCCTTTGTCTTAAATATCTAAGCCACGTTGCAAAATAGGTAGGGTTTTGTTTTCGTGCTGCACTCTACATTGTCCCTCCCTTTTTCATCATGCCTCCTGTTTGGATCCCCTTTGGACCTTGATGTCCTTGTGCCCTTTCCCCCTGGCCTTTGGGGAAAAAGTTGGCAAACTCATGCATGCTAAGATATCAAGGGCTTATCAGGTTTAAAGTGTTTTCCCTTCTTGTGGTGTCTACGTTTCTTACAGGGGTGAAGACATCTTAAACCAGAGGAATGACTCTCTAGTTGTGGAATTTCAGTCATCAGCCAGCAGATGCAGGAGGTATTATTTTGGGTATGGGGGCCTTCTCAGAAGCCTGGAAATCATCCTAAATGCCTGCTCCGTGTTCATAAGGCCACTTTGTGCATCACACCAGTCTTGTGTGCTTGGTTGGCTTGACCTGGCTGAGGACAGCAAGCATGATGTGGAAGTCTCTGTGCATGGAGTTCCACAGGTGCTTCACGGGCGGCTGTATGTGCTGCATAGGGGAAGAAGTGTGATGCATGCGATGCAAGCTTATTTTTCTGACTGCAAATGCTGGTTTTGGTCCAAAAGTTGTAAGTTCATAGTAAAAATAGAATTTCCCTCTTGGTTAAAGCCCGCTTCATGCCCCTCCACAACATATGTGTCCTCAGAGTGGTCTCCATTTGAAATTCATGGAATGTTCATGAAAGCTGGGGTTTCACATTGCAAATGTCCACGAGCTGGCAGAACAGTCATACCCTCCCCTTTGAACCCGAATCTTGGTTCTGTGAATAAGAGTGTCATTTCCATCTCGTGCCTCCCTATGCCAGTCACTGTTACCACAGCCACCCCGGAGAGTTCTCAGTGATCGTGAGTTGGAGCTGTGAGCCTCTCAGTTGGTAAGGCTGTGACTGTAGCCTCCCTTTATATGAAGGTCACTAGTTGGACTCTCAAATCTAATAACTTTGGGTAATGTGCTAAGGATGAATTAAAATGCTAATAGGCTACATGTTCTGGGTATTTTAACATTCCCTAATCTTAAATTTAAATGAAATGCCTGAGGTGCTCTCACAGCCTTGCCAGAAGCGTATTTACCATCGCCCCTTAGACAGTGAATTTAAAGTATATTCTGGCCACACTGGCAGAGCTAGGAGGATAAGCAGTATTTATTTTATGATCATTTTATTTTGTCCTCTACAGCTATATGACGCAAAAACTCTTTTACTCAAGAAAGCAATTTAGCTAAAAACAACCACCACCACCACCTCACTGTTTTCCTAAGTTTCTTTGAACCCATAGATCTTTTATTATTAACAACATTTAACAGCAATACGTTGGATTTTTGGCACCTGAAGGTATTCCAAAGCCCTTTTGTAGATTACCTTCATGTTGAAACCTTACACCACCACCATGAAACATCCATGCTTTATAATGAAGACACTGGGGTTCCCAGAGACGTGTGGCTTTCCTATCATCCTGTTGCTGGTTATGGGAGAATGACAGTCAGTAGGCAGTTGTTCTGGCTTCCAGCTCGGGCATCTGTCCACTAGACCAAGTGGGAGCTCTAAGCAAAATAAAGACAAGGTCACTTAAAGTAAATGCTTCTGCTGGGAAATGAAGATCATGCTCGTTTTGAGTGACATGTCAGTTCTTTGCAATTGGCAGTATTAGTTCTGTTGTCTACACTGAGGCCAGATTTCTTTATCTAGGGAGCTGAAAAAACAAGCGTATTTCCTTCCGTCAGTAAATGGGCCCCTTCCGTCTTATTAGTTGAATTAGCCCCTTTATTTTCTCCTTATTAGGAGGAAAGGACACTATTTCTTCCTTAGTCCTTCTAGTTATCTGGTGTCTGGTCACTTCATAATTGTATTTTAGGAGAATAGATATTAATTTTCTTCAACAAAAAGGCCGAGTTCTGTGAAGACACACCATAATTCAATTTCCGTTCTCTCTCTTTGTTGCCTGTGCCCCTTCCTCCTGGCACATTTTTCATGGTTAGGAGGAGTGATAGTGTCAAATGTATCAGAAGGAAGAATTGATTCCGTAGTAGTTTGACGACTTGACTGATTAACAGAGATCAGAAGAAGGCTCATAACTGTGAAAAGCAGTGCAGCATAGAGTTTGAACAGCTCTTTAGGGAGCTGGCTAATGAAAGAATCACTACAGAAACACAACCATGCCAAAAAAAAAAAAAAGAAAGAAAAGGAAGAAAAGAACGGGGGCATTCCCATATAAGACTCAGAGGCTATGTCATGAGAGGAAATACGCTCATAACTTCCATTTACACATCATTGTAATTACCGTCTGCCTTAGGTTTACTTTCAGTCTTCTACTGTCAAAGTTGCTCAGATATTTCCTCTTTCACAAATCAGGTAGAAAGGTCTAGTACTGATTGGAACTTGTCCTAAGGATTTTTTCCCTCCTGAAGAATTTAATTATCAGACACCTGAGCTGGTACTGTTTGATTAGACTGGCTTTAATCTGATCCATGTCCTTGTTATCATCACCATGTGTCCCTGAACCAGACTTCTGCTCTCTGGTGAATGTTAGATGGGGCTTTAGCCTTCACTTTTTTTGCATGTGGTTGTTCTCTTTTCTTTCTCCTGATGCAGTGTCTATGAACCAGATAGAAATGTGTTACGGAGGAAAGAACGAGAAAGAAGAAATCAGGAAACTCAACAGGATGATGGCACGTTTAGTTCAAGTTACTCCCTCTTCAGTGAACCCTACAAGGTAGATGGTTTTCAGTTGTTCATTTCCAGCCCTGCCTTGTACCTCTAGCTCCATGATGGCAGATTTGACTAGAAGAGTTGACCAACCAAACTTCAGTTAGTTTTCTGCCTCTTCAGCCCAGGGAAGACAGTTCGACCACTAAGAATGGGGTCTTCTCCCACAAATCTTGGTGTCTAGCTCATATGTCTTTACCAGCTATGACCTTGGTGAAATGTAATTTTTGCTTATTATCTGCTTGCTGTGATTTTTATCAATAATATAGACTTCATCTCCGCATTGATTTTCAAAGTCAATGCCATTTGTTACATCTTCTAAGCTGTTAGGAAACAAAAAGAGGTTGGGTTACATATTTGTCCACACAGGGATCATGCTGGGATCAGGGTACCTGACAGGGCTAATGAGAGAGAAGCTGTTGGATTGTTTCTCATGTATGCCAAAGGCCAAAAATAGAACCTCTCTTCCAAAATGAAATATCTCCCCAGATTTCACTAATATCTTAGGCTGTATGGAGCTATGGATAGTTCAGGCTGGTAGCTTCTTGCATATTTAGTCCCCTGTTCATTTTAAGCTTTTCTCTGACTTCTTTTGCCTGTCACTCTGGGTTGTTGACAAGAATAATTAAATATTTAGAAATTGGAAGCAGAACAATTTGAGCCAAATCTGAATTTTCAAGAAAAGCTTCCAATGGAAGTACAAAAATGAAAAGAAAATCTAGTCCCAGAAAGCCTTAATCCAGACCATTTTGTGAAGCTGCAGTAGTAAATTTTCTGATTTCCTTAGCTGTGGCACAGTATGTTGATGGATTCCCTTTTTGTGCACTCTGAGGCCATTCACAGCTTTCTGGTTCTGGTGCGATGCAGAGTGCTGACAGAGGTCTTCAGAGATGACGATTTTGATTTCAGCTCTCAGCTCTCATTCTGAATGTGGCAGTCCTGGCTCTGTGATCAGTGAAGATACCTCTCCATTATTTCCCATGTTCCTGTTGTCTCTAACAATCAGGTGGATGTTGTGTTTTTCTTTCTCCAGACTAACAAGGGGGATGAGCTCTCCAACCGGATCCAGAATACTTTAGGCAATTATGATGAAATGAAAGACTTTTTAACTGATAGATCTAATCAGAGTCATCTCGTTGGCGTTCCCAAACCTGGGGTTCCTCAGGCTCCTGTGAACAAGATTGATGAACATTTTGTTGCAGATTCAAGAGCCCAGACCCAGCCCTCGTCTGTCTGTAGCACTGCATCTTCCACACCAGCAGCTGTCCCCGTGCAGCAGAGTAAGAGGGGCACCATGGGCTGGCAGAAGGCTGGGCACCCACCATCTGATGGCCAACAGAGAGCAAGTAAGCACGGACACAGGTTGCTTGATGTTCACAAATCTGCTAGCCCAAAGAATCATAATAAAAAACCTAATCACTATGTGTCAAGCCCCTCATGCTCATCTTCCTCTTCTTCTTCTTCCAACTCAGCACAACAGGGCTCTCTCAGGACCTTGCTTGGTGATGGTGTTGGCAGACAGCAGTCACGGACCAAACAAGTGTGCAATGTAGAAGTGGGTCTTCAGACCCAGGAAAGGCCACCTGCTATAGCAGCCAAGCACAGTGGCAGTGGACACTGTGTCCAGAACTTTCCTCCTTCCCTGGCTTCAAAACCCAGCTTGATCCAGCAGAAACCGACTGCATATGTGCGGCCGATGGACGGCCAAGATCAGGCACCTGATGAATCTCCAAAGCTTAAGTCATCCACGGAAACCAGCGTGCACTGCACGTCGTATAGGGGAGTCCCGGCCACCAAACCAGAGTCCGCCAGAGCCAAAGCCAAGCTTTCCAAGTTCGGCATCCCCAGACAAGGAGAGGTGAGTCTTTTCTCAATACCACTTACATGCATCTGAGTAGTTCTGAGTGACTACCTGACAGTTGAAAGTTCAATTCCCGTGTTTCTCTATTTCAATGTGTGACTGACTTCATGTGGTTGGATTTGTAGCAATCAATAAAGGAGGATGTATACATAGATAATGATTTCTCAGAATCTCAAGTTGATTATAATCAGAATTTTTTAAGTACCAACAAATGCAGTTGTGTGTCTGTGTTAGTTCAGGAAGGAATGTCTCTTTCCATGTAGTTCAAGGGATTTTTTTTTTTGTGAACAAGCCTGTGTTGGAGGAGATATATACTAGAAATAAAAGTACTTCAAAGTCTATACTTTTTAGTATATAAAGAGGTTAATTTTTATGTAAAAGAGTTGAGAAATTCAATCTTTTTTTCAGTTTTGAAATGTTCTAAGACAGATTTCGTGAAGTCCACCTCATAATGATTTTTAAATAATTGTTAAATGATTCAATATTGGATATGGTGAATATTCAGATGTAGCAGGTGTCCCATCCTTATTAGAGTATTTAAGATCCAGGTTTATTGATGTTAATCAGGTAAGAACTCTCCTTGTCCTGTAAAAATGGTCTTGGGTTATATGAAGAGAGTGAAGTCTTTTAGTTCAGATTCTTCTGGTTGCATTTTGATTTTATTCTAAAGTATTTTTTCATTACAAAATGTATAGATTGGATGTATGGAATATTAGAATTCATAGCAAGCAAATCGCAGAATCACAGAGGTAGGAAAGAAGCCATGAGTAGTCACTTGAAGAGTAAAGCTAGGTAGAAAATGAAGTTTTGTTTTAGACAAGCACGTTTCATACTGTAGTCCAAATTGATGACAGTTGTCAGGAACATATGAAGAAGTATGACTGCACAGTTTTTTGTTTTGCTGTGATATACTAACTAAAATAAAATGTGCATTCTCGACCATTGTCCTTAGGAACTGTTCCGTTTTCTTTTTCTTTTTGACATATTCTTTTTTTAAAGATGGGTCACACTGGGGCCAGAATACTCCTTTTTTTTTTAACTCTTTATTGAGACTATGATAGTTTACAACCTTGTGAAATTTAAGTTGTACATTATTGTTTGTCAGTCGTGTTGTAGGTGCACCCCTTCACCCTTTGTGCCCCCCTCACCCCCTTTCCCCTGGAAGCCACTAATCTGTTCTCTTTGTCCACGTGTTTAACTTCCACATATGAGTGGGGTCATACAGAGATTGTCTTTCTCTATCTTGGCCAGAATATTCTTTGTGCCTTAATTTGATTTAATAATCAAGTGAAACAAATGATTTGACATTTCTCATTGTGTGTCTGATGAGGCTAAGCTTAACCCTTTCTGAGTTATCATCTCAGAAAGCGCCTGTACCAGTTGGCAGATCAACAAATTACCCTTAGAGAAGACAGATTTTTTACTCTGAGATGTTTACAAAAAGGTTCTAATGAGGAAGTTAAGTGGCATGTATACCAGTAACTTCTTTATATTATTCATTTGTGATGGGTCTCATAAAGTATGCATTAGGAATTGATAGATGCAAACTGTAACTTCTGCAGACATTTATGTTTTTAAAAGTTTCTAGGAAACACACATAGATACCATCTTATAAAACTGAATTTCTCCAGCTGTCTGATTTTTATCATTATCAGATGACTGGTACTGGCAAATAGAGCATGACTTATCCTTGAACAGAAGTGACTACAACTACCAGGCATCCCTTTATGATTTTAATCCCAGTTGATTCCTTTTCAAAATGAAGTGCCAAAGAAACTTCAAATTTGTTAGGTAATTATTTATTTATTTATTTTGGAACCCAATGAGTTGATAAAGCTCTGGTTAAAAACCAGTTTTTGATAGCTAGTACAGGCTTATGTAGATAACTGTACAGTTTTCATTTGGGGTATGTCATTAATAACGTGGACACTTTTGGGATGCCCTTCCAGGACCCTGGATTGGGAATGGCACACTGTACTAGTGTTCAGTAATCACAAAAAGAGGGAAATGCCTGAAATAGAGAGTCAGACTGAGAGAGATTAGAGCTTTGATACAGGAAGTATTTCATTTCCCCCGTATAATGACATTGAACCAGTCAGCCTGAATACTTCAAAGAAGCCAGTCATGCATTGACAGAAAACAGGTCGGAAGAAGTGTTGTTTATAGAGCAAAGTTATAATGGGGAGAGGATATAAGTCCTTATTTTAACAAAAGGCTTTGTGTGTTATAGAAAATATGGTCATTTGAATCTCATAACCCTTGTGTGTCTAACCAATCCACGATCATAATAAGAAAATAACTCTGCCAATTAGCAGCAGGGTAATGTCCTTCAAACTCAAAAAGTTTTTTTTTTTATAGTACTCCAAGAGGTTAAGAAATACCCTTTTGCAGGTATATCATTCAGTATTTATAGGGATTCCTATAAAACCCACAACCATAACATGGAAACTGAAGAACTTTATTAACTCATCAGATTTTAATTTTGAGGGAGTATTTTTTTTTTTGGAGAGAATAAAACAATTCAGTGTGGCAAACGATTTAAAAAATATTGATGCCTTTTTTTTTTTTTTGTACACAAATACCACCTGTGTGAAAATGTCCTCTCAATGGTACTGACATTGATTTCTAGGCAGATAGGGAATGTCTTTTTTTAGGGAAATTTATAGAGGAAAGGACCTGAAGGGAACTTGCATTACTTGCTTATACTTTTTCAGGATGTTAGCTGTAGGGCAAGAATGATGACAGTGTGAAGAATTTGGGGGCTAAAATGGAGTGTTGGATAAAAATGACATAAATACAAGGGAAGTGCAAACAGAGCTGTGTGGCATTGTGTAGGTACATTCCTCATAAGAAAATCAAATCAATGACTAGGTGTAAAGTGATGTGAGAAATTAAAAAAAAATTCTAAGATGTCGTCTCTGCCTCTAAGAAATTTACATGAGTTGAATAAATCAGACTGCAGCACTTAGCTTTTAATTTGCAATTTCTCTCACAGTCCTAACTAAATTTAAAATTGGCCTTCTAGCCCTAGGAAAATTCCCTCACCTTCATAATCGTGTAGTAGAAAAATATTCTATGTTATTTTTAAAAATTGAGAATTTGTGAATCTCTTTTGCCTTATTTTACACTTAGTAAATTCTTTATTCTTTCCCTTACAACATCTGCACTCTGTCTGCTGCCATGGCGAATTATTTGTTATAATTCTTTAGTCTTCCATAATAGGTAATTAGTGTAGGAAAATTCAGTGCAATTTGATGTGGAAGTTAAAGACCTCAAGGGGATTCCTTAACTGATACACCTGCCTCTTGGCTGGTTTTTCCCAGCTCAGTTATGTGTTTAATGAAAAACATATTTTTGTTGTTATAGCTGAGTTTTTTGTTCTTGACACCACCCCTCGTTTAGTGAGACTTCCCCAGTGTATCACTTGGAAGGGTGACTACTGTTAGGTGAGAGACAAGGAACTTAAAGAATGACTAAAGCTTGCATTCTAGAATGTTCTAGGGTAGAGCACACTAAATTTTATTTCTGGTTGAAGTGAGTTGTGTTTTGTTTCACACACACATGCAAAATTGATGCTTTGCCCTTAACATGTAATTCAAGATCCAGACGTTGGGGACTGTTAACCTAGAGGGGCAGATAGAGGTTTCTCGGGACCTAAAATTTATTCTATCCTGGGGATCCTCTTTAGGAAAAAGCAGAACAGAAAAATATCGTACACTTGAAATTTTTACAAAAACATGTATTAACACATTGCTAGGGCACCTCCTGGGGCCTTGGAGGAATCTCTGTTTTTAAAAGGCCCTGAAGCGTATGCATCATTAGCGTCATGGTGTATCTGTCTTTGGTTCATGGAATAATAAGAAATTATTATTAAAATGATAATTTTAGATTTGAAAATAGGGCTTTGTAATAGCCTCAAACTTGGTAGAATTTAAAATACATATTTATATGCTAGGTAGAGGCAAGGCAAAAATGGGACAGTACTGTGAAAAGCCTAATATGCAGTGCATTGAGACAAGATATGGGCCTCACAGGCTAGGCAGTGAGTTTGTTTGTCAAGTTCCAGCCTCAATAGTGGTCTTCCAAAACATGCACATTTTAGTTACTGTTTGCTACTAACTTAATACATAGCAATGATTTGAAACTGCTCTTGCAGAGGGCTCTGATGGCTGAGAGTAGAATGCATTTGAAAAGCCAGGGAAGGATGGAAGCCAGTAGCCGCTGCCCTTAGCTTAGATAGTGATAAGGAAAGAGACACCTAAATTTGAATATCAATTAATAGAGTGTCTATTAGGGGTTTTAGTAGTAGTTGATAATACATCCAGAAGAAGAGAGTAATCACTTTTGGTTGATCAGGATTTTATTTGTTAAAGTAAGTAATTAAATAGTTTAAGATGTATTGATTAATTATAGCATTTTCATGATGGGCATTCTAAAATCGCCATTTATACCACGAAGAAGAGCAGAAAGATAAAGCACCGTGATTCCACAAAATAGCTTCCTAGAAAAGCAATTAACTGATTTTTTTTTTAAGTTCACAGAAGATAAATGATGTAGGCTTCCTATTTCCTGTCTCTCTTGGTTACCTTTGTATGAAAATGGATTTCTTCCAAATTAAAGTCGGCACCAGCCTGTCGGACGAAAAAGACATCTGCAAAGCAATGTGTACATTCCATATTCATGCCAGTCTACATTTCTTAATTATGTTTGAGATGTATAATGTTTTCAAATTCAAGTATGCTATCTGATTGCGCATTGATGAAATGAGGGTGTGTGGCCAGCCTGGAGACTCAGTTTCCCTGTCTATGCTGGTCTCCTCTTCCGTATCAGCATCACCTCCATCCTCCTTCACCCGTTGCGGACAGAGCCCACGTCCCACAGCACGGTGTGACTTAGTAACAGCACAGATGGTTACACTCTGTGCTTCCTCCTCTTCACATAACGCACGTCCCTCGTTCTCGTAGCGAGGGCTTGGGGAGCGTGTACCACGTAGACTC